ATATGAATATCTGATATGTTGTAAGGAATTCCGTACGTAGATTCAAAATCCACTTAAGTGGATTTCGAATCTCAAAACAAGTAGAAAGAGAATTTCAATAATTATAAGCTATTAATAAAAAAAATTGTAAACAATATAAACATGTAGTTTTATAACTAAAAACATTGCATTATCATTATATTATATATTTACTTCTTATAACATTAAAGAATATTATCTATTTTTTACATCAAATACTATGTGAACAACATCCGCTTCCACACATCAGATTATCTTTGCCGGTTATTAATAGAAACAAACTTACATTCTTGCATCTTGTACATTTCAAGCACTTCATATTCGATCGGTTCTAGCGGCGTAATTTCATTCACATTATGGTAGGTTTAAGTATTTCATTTTTACATTTTAAGTGATATATTTCGTTTGACAATTTGTATTAGCAGGATCATGTAGTACTGCAATAATAAGATTATGAAAAGTCTAGAAGAGTTTTCTTCTTTTTTTTTCAAGAAATTTATTACTAGTCCGATAAATTTTGTATTGAAATAAAAGAATATTCTTGGGTTGTCATTTAACTTGAAAACTTTCGTGAAATATAGTACAATTAAATATACATGATTTATAATCGATTATTTAAATGATATTTTTAAGATCCGAGATTGGCTTAAGTTGTTTCTAGATTCGAAATCCGCCTAAAGTAGATTCCGAATCCGCAGAATACCGACAACTACATTAATATTAACGAAACTCACGTTCATTCCTCAGATTTATTTTTGTAATTAAATGAAAAGATAAGGTCAAGCCTAATTTCCTATCATAGTAAGGTTGAAGCTAATGAAGGGATAAAAATTATAATCTTATTTAAAAATAATTTAAGAGAACATGAACGTAAGATAGGGTTTCTGATATGAAGGAGCTTTTGTAAGTATCTAATACTTTTACATATAATTAGCACAGTGGCACGTTGAACCTTGTGAACACGTTCTAAATAAGCGAATTCGATATGTTTCGATAAAAATTTTATAATTTGAAAACGACATACTAAGCATTCGCTTTGGCGAAGCTTTTAAAAAAGTACATTACCTTCATTCATGTTTGTGCGTCTCCATGTAAGACTAGTGATGAGATCGGTTATAACTGATGACATTCAGTTAAAGTCAAAGTGCTAAATTTTGAAATGATTTTTTCTTCGTAATTAAAGTTTTATAAGAGTAAAGTATGATACATTTTCTAAGACTCAAGAATTTATTGTCGGTTATAGATCGGTTATGAATTAGTTATAACCGTCTGTAACTAATGATAAGTTTTAATTGTTGAGTTTTAGAGATATTTTTCATTGGACAATAACTCGCAAAGACAAATTGATTGTACAACCATAGTAAAGATTGTATGTACTTATTATTCAACTTAGTTGATTATCTAAACGGTTCTGCACTTGGGCCGACAGCCACTTCATCAACAAATTTAGGCTGATTTAGGTCGGGTCGTAGATAGTGTTGGCTAGAGGTAAGACCGTCGGCGAATTCTACCAAAACCTCCCTGTCTTACTATAGCTGCCATACGATATATAGTAAATATATATATAAAGAAAATAAAGAATAAAAAAAAAAAAAAACCTACTATGGCCTCGTTAGTATGAACACACATAAGAGAGCATTATGTTTTAAATCTTTATGTGAACGTCTTCGCTGCGTCGACGCGGCATACAGTACCACAATCCCACAATCCGGCATCATGCTTTTATAGATAACACCAATCAAGTTTTAATAAATCAACTTTTTATAATTAATCCAAATTGATACGTACGTGCGTAAGTGCATTGACAAGTTGTATGGCGGTCGCGTAAAAGCATGTTCCTAGTTCACTGGTGATGATCGAGATTCACAGGTACGTACTAAAGTGTTTGGAAGAGTTATCGTTTATCTTTCTGCTAGCCTGAAGTTTAGTCCAGTTTTTAGTGAAAATAGATACTTCCATGCTTTCATACATATAAATAGAAGCAGCTATTATTCATACCCCCTATAATCTAAAATTTAAGATCGCTTAAATCGATGAAACCTTTTTTTTTTTAATTTTGCGAATTTATAAAATTTGGTTAGGGTTGTCAATATATTTTTTGCTTAAAGGTTTTAAAAAAATTTAAAAACATTTAAGTTTCTATTATCGCTGTTTTCGAAATGTTGAAAATAGTATTTTGGTGAATACTGTGAATACTTGATTACTTTAGTTCATTGATTAAAGGTCGATACCCAATTTTACGTACAGTACATACTACGTAACAGTACAGTACATACTACGTAATTATTTTGGTAAACAATTACATCGTATATATGCAATCACTTCGAAAACAGCAATAAAATAGAAGCCTCAATAAATTTTTTAAATCTTTAAATGGTATCTCGATAACTGCCTATTAAATTTCATTAAAAAAAAAAAAAATTTTTAATAATGTATTATATAATCAGAGAATTAAATAAAAAATTTTTGTTGCCGATAAATACCTTAAAATTTTGAAATAGAAACCACGAAATTTTTTTTTTAAACTTTGAACCTGATAACTACCAACCAATTCAATTTTGATAAAAACTTTTATTGTTTTTATCAAACTTGAGTTGCTAGTTGTCTTCATTTAAAAAAAGTTTATCGTAGTTTCTATTTTAATAATGTTCTAAATTTTTTTTTGTTTGACCAAGACATCTTAACAATAACCCAATAAAGTTCCTAAAAAAAATTTAATTCTGTACGTTCGTAGTATTAAAACCATTATCGAATTTAAGCAGGTAGTTATCGAAAGAATTTTGTCTCGACACATTCGTAAAATGAAGGAAATTATTATGACAAAATTTGGGGCATGAATAAACGATTCGATTTATAACAAATATGTTGAGATTTTTTGCTGAATGCGGAATCTTTATGACACAGACTTAAGCGAAAATTTTCATTCTGAAAGTCTTTGATAGTTTTTTTGTAGACGTAAAGAGTAAAGAGACTTCATTGGGAGAAAGAACCTTTTCACTAAATGATAAAGGTTAGGATCAGGTCAGACAATTCTAATATCTCCCATAACTTTTATAATAATGTAGTCATCCCAGTCTCGAGAAAAAGAACCAGAGCAGTCACCAGGTTAAGTGTGTATTTTTCGTGTAAAATCGACTAACTTAAAAACTCTGCTAGATAAAGGTCTTAATATTAAACGAATGGAATTATGTTCACGTGGCAAGGGACAATATAGAAATCGTGTGCATCATAAGAGTTGCAATCATGAAACAAATTAGGTCCGATGCCTAATCAAAGATGGTAAACCGCGACCAGTGGAACAACTAGGTTTGTGCAGGAGTAGGAAGGTGGATAACCCTTAATCGTTTCAAAACTCTTCCGGAAGGAATAACACAACATTTTACGTACTTACTAGGCTTAACAGTTATAAAGTCAAAGGGATATTGTGACGAATCGAGATATCTCACGATTCAATCAAAGGAATTGATGATTTCAAGATTTCAAATCGAATCGAATCATCCACTTCGGAATTATCACTCTGAAAAGGTTTGTTAAACTATTATACTATTATTTCGAATTTTTCCAAATTGTGTATCGGTTTTATAACAGAAAACAAAAATTGTCATTGAAAATAAAAAGATACGTACGTACGTACGTACTTAGTCACTCATTTTCTAATGGTTATTTACATAGCGTGACGCAGGGGCACGAGGCATGCCTTTGTCATGTGATATATAAAGCATGCTTTGATTGGTTAATAAGATTAGATACCAAATCAACATATGGGGATGTCAAGCAAATTGTTTTTAGTTAAAATATCTCAACTATTAAAGCAAACTTGATAAATGTTTTTTTTTTATTTTAATTCTATAACTATATATAGAATTAAAATAATAACTTTTTTTATCAAGTTTGGTTTAATAGTTGTTGAGATATTTTAACTTACCGTATCGTCGCGAAATAACGCCCCAGGGCGTTATTTCGAGACAAATTTTAAAACGAGTTAATAATTAATTTTGCAGAAGAGTTTTTTTAAACTTTACTATTAAATAAATATTAAAGTTTAAAAAAAATCTTCGGCAAAATTAACTCGTTTTAAAAATTTTTGTCTCGAAATAACGCCCCGGGGCGTTATTCCGCGACGATACGGTAAAGTTTAAAAACTTACTAAAAACAATTTACTTGGTTTCTACTGAGACCCCGTATAAAGTTTTTAGAATGTTGCGAACTCGCGAATTATATGTCAATCACATGATTTAGAAAGGGCATGCCTAATTTTTTCCAACATAATTCGCGTCACGACTAAGAATTTCGCTGGCCAATCAGATTTCAGGATCGGCTGTAACGCGAAAAAATCAAAACAAACCAAAAAATCGTTCATAGCTCAACATTTTACCTATGAAAATGCCTTCTGCGCATTAATGAAAAGCTTTTTCTTGCGAATTTTGATGCTAGGAAATTCTTTCTAGTCTAACATAATAGCAAAACCTAACCATAACAGCGAAATTTTTTAGGGTATATACAGTAGTCAGCTAAACGAATATAAAACCGATATAAAATACGTACTCTTCATTTTACATTTCACGTAAGTTTATTCTTGCATTGTGATATTTTCAAGCTTTAATATTACAGTATTAAGACGAAACACATAACTTGTATGCATACCGTGTTTTTTTTTTTATTAATATATATTTAAAAAAGAAAATTTTTGTTAAAAAATGTTTTTTTTTTAAATTTTGAATGAAAAGGGTTTCATGATAATTACAAGAAAGAAAAATTACATTATCAATAATGTACAGGTTAATTTATTACAGTTTTAAAGTGACCGGCAATAATTAAAAAAAGGTTTTCTAAATATCTATTTTTCTAAAAAGATATATGTTTTATAAATACAAGTGAATATTGATTAATGCCCCCTTTTTCCCTCCATATATATATATATATATTTCAAAAGAATTCTGTTGAATAACACCAAATGTCCAAATGTCCATGAAATTATGCAATTAATTGTCTTCTTGATCAGTAAGATCCTGATTATTAGGGTCCGGATTAACAACTCTTAATTCATTTCTTGACACCACCGATGCACCATCATGGGGTTGCATTTGAACGTCCAAACCTCTACCAATGTTCATGATATGAATACTTTGTGAACTATCATCATCATCATCATCATCATCATCATCATCTTCATAATCATCATCAACATCAATGTTAGTTTCATATCTTAATGGGCTCTGTCGTCGATTCCTCCTATTATCATCTAATAGATCACTACTAGACTCGCTTCCATTTATATCATCAGTATTACCAAGTTCAACTTCAACACTTCCTTGAGGATGATGACCTTTTGTGTATACAACAGGTATAGTAACATTATTTTCACTAAATTTGACACTACGTCGTCTTCCATTTTCAGGATCCGAAGGTCTAATATCATTATCACTAGTATTTCCAAGTAACCTATTAGCAAAGATAGAATTTTGTGGTTGAGCAGATTGTTCATCACTATCAGAATGATTTGAACCATCACCATCATTACTATCATTTAAACGGAATAAACTTGAAAAGATACTAATTCGACTAAGTCGACTTTGTCTTGATCTTTGTGTTGTGGGATTATTATTATTATTATTATTTTGTGGAATTGTTCTTGAATATGGAATTCCTACTAATATTGAACCATTTGATATTTTACGCCGATGATTAATGTAATAAATTAAAAATGATATCATCGATAAACAAATTAATATTAATAAAACCAATAATCCTATAGCTAATTCCTTGGATATGCTTATTACTTGAACAATCGGTGAGTTTGAAGTGGTTGATGTTGGATATGGAGTTAGAGTTGAAGGTGGTGGAGGTACTAGAGGGTTAGCAGGAAAAGGTTGTGGAACGTATCTATCTACCCATGTCCAGTTTACTAAATTTAAACAATATATACGATTATCAGGACGTTGTGCAGATCCAGTTCTTCCTAGACACGTTTAAATTCAAATTTTAAAATTTTAAAATTTTAAAAATTTTTTTTTTGTTTAAAAAATTATCAACAATTGAAATTAAATCTTTGAAAATCATACCAAATGCAATAATCATATTTGCACCGACGATTGTTGCGGTATGTTGAAATCGACCTGTAGGTGGGTTAATAGTAGCAGGTGCAACCCAATTCCAATACTTTGTGTCAAGAACTGCAACGTCTCCAAAAATTGTAGTATTAACTCCACCAGATCCGCCGTATATTATAATATAATCATTTAATACTATATATATATGTGTGTGTGTATATGTATGTATGTATAAGTTAGTAAATTTGTTTATATAAGTGTAATAAAAATTATTGTCACGACTGATGGCTAAAGCTGAGAATCAAGGGATCGATCTTTGAATCTATAATAAACCTTATTAAAACCCATTTATATTCCCAACTAATACTTTTTGTTTTATGGATACTCTATTAAGTGCCAAGATGAAAAGCATAATTTGAAAAATAAATGTGGCGGATCATAATGAAATCCAGATCAAAATGAAATTATAATATAAAATCTCAAAAAATAAAATTTTTTGGGGTGCATTTTTTAGGGATAGGGGTTAGGGTTAGGGGTTAATTTTAAAGTAAAGTCATAATAAACAAGTATAAGTGGGATTTAGAAGGTTAACAGGTTGAGTAGGAAATGTAGATTTCAGTTTAAATTATGATCCGCGACAATAAATGAAATAAAACACTTATGAATTTCATAAGTGATCTATTTTTAGATTTCCGGGTTTTTCATTTTGGCAACACTCATTTGTAGAAAAGTATTCCACAAGAACTAGTCTCAGCTTCAGCCGATTTCAACATAAGCAGCAACAAAATTAATAAATTATGATACCGTATGATATGATACAGTGTGAAATCAAGAAATTACAATAATGTATGAAATTAATAAATTACAATATTGTAATTATTTGATTTAATTGAAGTTGTAAATACATACCAACAGCTGAATGCCTACTTCGTGGGGAAGGAACTTGACCAGTGGCATTAAAGAAAGACCAATTAACCGTTTCAGAGTCAAAAACATAAACATTACTCATAGAGACAAAAAGAGATTTTTCATCGACACCACCCAAAATAATCATCTTGTTCCCTATAACACTAGCAGTATGGCGATCTCTTATTCCAGGAGAATTAGCCAAGTATGGAAAACCTTGCCATTCGGACAAGGAAATAGTGTTAAATCCCCATAACTCACCAACATCAACACTAGTTAAAATGTCAGTTGAGGGATTAATTTCACCACCAAAAATCAACATATTATTATTTGGTAATATAGCAGCCGAATGATCATGTCGTCTTGGTGGAGTTGAAGGAATTGTTAAAGGATTCCATAAACTAGTTGACGGATCATAAATTAGTAAACTTGTCATAGCAGCAGAAGCAGGATCATTTACGGTGCCACCATAAACCACAATTTTCGAATTATTTATTCCACCGGCTACGGCAGAATGGAAAACAGCTCTTGGCATCCCTGTAGAATCAAGTTCCATCCATAGAGGAGAAATTATTGAGAATTCGATGGATATGTTAAGGCTAATGAAATCCAAAATAAAATCATTTTCATGTGTTCGGCCACCTACAAAATAAATAGTATCATTTATAAGAGTTGCAGTATGGCCGAAACGAGGATCAACATAAAAGACAGGATTTGGATATGACGAGATTGAATGAAATAACGATAGTAAAACAAATATTATGAATAACCATTTTAATATGATATGATGAAATTGTAGTGGCATGGATTGTTCAAAAAGTGAAATGTATGATGACTACTCTTATACTGGATTACATGAAATCAGATTTTTTTCTTTTCTTTTTTTTTTTTTTATTCTAAGATTAAATAGTAGAAAAAATTTGAAAGTAAATAAAAGATATAAAGATTAAAAACTAAAGAAAAAACCGAACGACTAGGAAATAATGGAATTAATAATAAGTGGAAATCTGGAGCAATTATGTGGTGAGGCAAGCCCCTGAATTGAAATAAAAGGAATGAAGTGTAGTCAAAAAAGACCAGAATGTGAATGTGTGAGGTAATTAGTGTCGAGAGGGAGTAATATGTATAAATTGATGAGGGTTATAAATTTGTTTATTATTTATATTATATGCGTGTGATAAGTTGATCAATGTGCATGCGTAAATATTACTGCGAAGAGACATATATGGTTGTGATAATGAAACATTGCCAAGAATAGTAATTGTAAAAACGTCTTAACAGTATCAATTAGTAATAACATTGCTCTTTCAAGAAATATTACCATTATTCTATTAAAACGATTAAATATTGGTTCATTGTTAAGTCGACGCCAAAATTGGATGATAAGGAATTAAAGCACTTAATTTCATCCTTACTTATCACGACCGGTCATTAAAACCTAACCTTTGGTGCTTATATGTAAACAAATGTCAGTAATTAATTCATGACTTATTTAGGTCAAAAGCCTAATCAAGGTAACTGGTAACCATATAAACCATTATTAGCGTACAAAACAACTCAGTTACTTATGTACGTATGTATTTCAATAATAAACCAATGGAACACATATAAAAACTATCGGAGTTTTAAAATTCCCGGAAAGGGTCTGCTACGTACGTATAATATTTCGGGTAATGCACAGAAATATGTAAAGTTATCGGCTTATTAATTTTGGAAACTTATTTACCTTTGTACATTAATATCATTAATAGCAGTGATAACTATTACATGCAAAAAGAACTATTGTACGTATAACAATTGTTTAATCGTTTGTGTTATATTATGATTGAAGTCTGGATTTTTCCTTGGCGTCACTTATTTGTAAAAATAAAAATATAGAGTAAAAATACTGTATAAATACAAAGATTCATATTTACAAATAACATAAATATTTATGACCTTTGTCCTAGCAAAAAAATTATATAAACCTTGTCCTGTTAGCACCCTATCTCCAATTTGAGCATAATTAATTAAATATTCACCGGTAAAAGAAACGTTTTTGCCAACGTTGTAAAGATTTTTTTCAATAATCTATTATTACTGTATCTGTATTAATGATCACTGCGCGTAATGCGCATGGCACTACACGCGTAATGCGTGGGAGTTTGAAATCTTACCAGGAATATCACTCATCTATACCGCGCGTTACGAGGCTTTCAAGAGAATGTTAGTGATTAGTCAACGAGTTTATTTAAATATTAACAGCATTACTGATATAATACGTTGTAATTATTTAATGGTTTTATCGCTATTTTTGAAATGGTTGAAAATAGGAAATAAATATTATTTCGGTGAATACTGTAAATACTCGAATATTCGATTACCTTAGCACATTGATTAAAGGTAAGGTCGAAATTCCAAATTTACATACATACGATGTAATTGTTTTGGTGAACAACTACATACGAGTGTCGCCCGAAAATTTAAATATGACTTATATTTAAATTTTCGGGTTTCCTTTAGCGACACTCATATATGGTATGTGCATCGACCTTTAATCAATGTGATAAGGTAATCAAGTATTCGAATATTCACAGCAGGGCTATTGTTTGAAGTGTTTTTCTTGATTCATTAAAATTAAAAATTAGTGTATTGTACATCTTATTGTTTACTATATCAGCCAATTAATTACTAATATACTATAGATCAAGAATGCCACTTTTGAATAGAGATGGGCATTCTGCATTATGTGCCTTACATTATGCAAAACATAATGTCACATAATGTAATGTAGACATTTTAAAATTTAAAAGTGCACATAGAAATTACTATATAATTTTAATGCAACAAAAATTAATAAAATATTATATTTTATATCATATGTAATACTAAGTGATATGTAGCATCAGTTAGTGATTTCCTACCTGTATAAAGCAGGCTAACTAATATGAGGTTTGAAAATACCATAAAATAGTAAGCTTCTGTCTAAAGATAAGAAAGATTGGGTATGAATCGTCTTCTTTATTTTGGTAGAACACCATGATTGCATAATGTCGCATGCTAACATTATGCTATATTATGCAATGCGGAGCCAAAAAAATATGTATTCGCACATCTCTACTTTTGAATGGCCGGCAAATTACTATAGGATTTTAAGCCCTGATTCACAGTATTCACCAAAATGATTGTTATCTGCCATCAACCATTTCAAAAACAACGATAAACAAATTGATAAACAAAATTAATGCTTTTATCTTAAGGATATGCCTTTATCTTAAGGATATTCGATATACAGCGAATGGTGTATCAAATTTTCTATGAACAACTATTTTAAAATCATTTAAAGTTATTCAAAATGGGTTTAAAAAATTTTTAATAAAGTTAATTAAAATTTTAATACAAAATTACTATTAATACTGTACTTCCAGTTAAGTTTTTAATTTTTATAAAAGCTTTATTAAAAGGTTCTTAACAGCTAGCCAAGAAGTTTCTTAGTAAAATAATAACGATAAGGTAAATTTTATACTGGTGGTTGGACACATGCGTGACACGTTACACCAGGATCATGTGACTTACCCTGATCGATAGTAATGGTTGTAAAAATGAAGACAAAAGGGAACAAAAGAATACATTTTAGGTCGATAAATTATGTGAAATGTATAAATGAATTTAAAGAATAAGGGCAATAAGATTTTTTGTTTAAGAAATTTCAGACTACCTGAATTTGGCATAATCCATAACTATAAATTATTGTTAATGACTTTTTTTTAAATTAATATTAACTATACGTATTTTTTATATTGTAAATATTATTTGTATCTGTTTTATTTATATTTGCTACAAAATAAAAAAAAAAGTTGAATCTCTATATAGGATAGTGCGGATAAATAAACATTAGTGCAAAGTTCATGGATTTCCCATATTTAATTTATTCAATGAACATCTATAATGAATCCTGGCATAATGAGTTCAAAACTTTATACATATTTCAGATTAGTTCGGTATGAAAAGTTAATTAGATTTCAAATTATAATTTTGTATAACAGATAATGAGCTTTTTCAGAATTTTGTTATATACATATACATATATATATTTATATAATATATATATATATATATATAGTATAAAATATATTTGTAAATAAATTAACTAAATTCGTGCTTGTGCTCGTGCATAATTTAGTAATAAATAAAAATCATAAGTTTTCTTTTTTACGATAATTTATTTTGGAAAAAGAGAATTACAAGCCGTGTAACGTAAATAATTAATTAAAAAAAAAAAACGTTTTTTCTTAAAAAAAATTTTTTAGCAACACAAGTATTGCTTATGAAATTATTTTTTACGTCCAAAAATAATTTCTTGCAAATAACCATGCCTGCTCGCAATCTATAAACAATACCTTTCTACAAAAATAGAACTTTCCAGGACCATCGATTTTTTTTAGGTTAATGGCAGTTTTTTTTTTCTTAAAAAAAAAAAAAAAGAATAAATAAATTCTAAAACTCGATGATTATAATCATGTGACTACGTCTCGATTGGTGGTACGTACGTAACTTTATCCATAAATTCATATAATGTTGCACGAATCTTTTACACGTAACAAATTGTTGTGCATATCAATATTTTGAATTACAGCTTGCAGAAATGCAGAAATGATTAAAATGTGCATACTATATTTAATACGTATGATAATTACATCTTTTACCATAAATTACACATATGATAGTAGACCAGGGCTGAAACGATCTATAGTAAATAGTGACGATTTACCGCGCCAAAATCCATTGTTTAAAGTGTCTTTTTTGATGCTTCAAAATTAATATTTAAGTAAATAAGAATCTCATATTTTTACTACTAATGTGGATCAAGATCGATACTTTGCGAATGGCCACTATTTACTATAGGTCGTTTCACCCCTGCAGTGCTCTTTTATTAAACACTTGGGTGTGACTCCGAGTGGCATATATGTAACGCACATAGTAAAATATAGTAACTATTGAAGTCTTCTCTCTCTATATTAAGTCTTTAGATTGTTAAAATTCTTATTTTGTACCAAAAGAGTTCACTAACTATAAAATTTTTTTGCTTGCAGTTTATTCTTGTAAAAATTTTTAATTTATTTTTAGAAACTATTATTAAAATTTCGATAGTTACCGTTTCTTATTATCATTTGTACGTATTGCATTACGTATTTGTCACTGTATAAATTGTTTTATTGATGATTACTAAATCGGAATTGACATATTACACGCATGATATTAATTATTGTCTGTACCAATTAATCGAGAATGCGTGTTCTACGAATGTAAAAAGCAATGTATACATAATGACGCATAATTTGGGATTGGGTAATTAGTATTGAATGTATTTCAATCATTTCAATTGTAAGGATATTAAAAATTCCAATCCCGCTGCAATAAAGAAATTTTTTATTACAGTTATTATTATGCAGAAACTAGCGATGTTACCCAAACTATTTGTGACTTCCAATAACTATGTGATGAATAGTATCTCACGATTTCGGAAATAACAAGAAGGCAGTAAATATCCCATGT